CTATGACAAATAAGGCATTGTGACGAGTATCTTTTCATGGTGATTTCCACCATGAGTGGCCAGCACTAAGACAATCAACCACATCCAAACCATCATCCTAAAATAAAATCACTGAGTGAGTGTGTGAATTGAAATATATGTCGCCTAAGAGCAATACCATTCCACAGTCAATGGTGTAATCTAAGCAAATAAAAGGATGCAGTCAAACGTTCGTCTAATCAAAGTTGAAAATAGTACGCAGTTAAACGCTGGCCTAGCCATATATAGTGAACTTCTTTGGATGGCATTTAGAAGTTCGTGTGATGAACAACGGGGAAAGTTATATGGATATGCAACTCCTTTATTATAATGTAAGCGACATTTTGGTCTGCCAATTTCAAACCCGTTCTGCCATCAAAATATCTATCAAAACCCATCTTTTCCCCCACGTTTTCTTCTAACAAAATTTAGATAATAGACATGTTATACCAACAACTGGTTTTCTACAATATATTGTTACACTCCGCCGCCATTTTGACTGTATGTAGTAATTGATGTGTGTGATATGTACTCTTATACCACTATTGGTGGTCTATTGAGAATAAAAGTAAAGTAATTGGCTACAGCTGGACGTGGTTACATATGTTTTGATAAGCTGATTGGTGACGCGTGTATCCAATTAACCTTTCGTAACATTTTCGTTTCCAGAGGAGGACTTGAAACTCGTTCAATATATGGAACTATCTACCTGTATCATCTTGTTTATAACTCATGTCAAAACGATTCAAATCGAATGAGAGCAATAGGTGACATTCACTCGGATGCAGACAAATTGAATAGGGAACGGTGAACAAGCTGTAAGCTTATATGAACACCACTCCCTTACAAAAACAAATAACAATTACATAGTTTGGCTGTTAGTCATGTATACGATGTACATAGTCCAAAAGAAGAGAGGTATGTCGAAAGCATAGGTTGAGAGTAAACAATCATTATCTTGAGAAAAGGGCGTCAAATCTGCCTGACTTTACGATATATATAAATGAACAGATTCAAGAATCTGCATATTTACAGGTGCAGTTGCATGGACATTTCCGAATAGTACTGAGTCTAATGTATATGTTTTTGGTAAAAGTACATGTTATTTCGAGTTACAGTATATATTGGACAAGTAAAGAAAAAGTGAAAACTATCCTCATTTGCTAGTCCACATGAGCATATCGGACTTTCTAAAACGTATGTTTCATATTGTGAGCATTGAGGTCACTGCAGCCAAATAAACCCGCCTACACATCTACAAAACATTTATCATGTACACACTGGAGTGAGTCGCTCCCGTCCTTCTCTATCCCCAACTAAACTCCTTACAATATATAAAAAAACCATAGGTGCAAAGACTAGTACCTACTAGATAGTGGTTACTAGAAGAAACCAAATTACACAATAAATACTATACTGGGTCTGAAAACAAAATATCAAAACAGCAAACAAAAAAAAGCACCCTTAAATTCAGAATAAACCCTTTAAAACATCCCTACCCAGCCACACATTACAGCGTAAACTCGATTATCTAGACTAACTCACAATGTCAAGGCCACACACCGCACGTTTCACAACCAATAAGTCACAATATACTTTACATTACTTACTTAGTTGAATTTATACGCAATCAACTTCCCAACCCTCTTACGTCCAACTTCTCAACTCCCCATCTAAACTAAATTATTTTCAATATACAGGGGTTTTATGATATAGTGCTTTATTCCCCAAGTAATAATTATATGACGTTTTTGTTAAACACCTATGACGTCTGTCGATGACTTGTGGCACTGTCTCAAGTAGATAGCTGGGATATGGGGACAGACAGACATATAAGTATGTAGACAAGCCATTCTTGTAGAAGTATGGAAGACGATGGCACATACATTTAGAACAATACCTTTTTCACATAAAAGTAGAAATATGTATGTGTGAAATAGGCACACATAAAAAGACCAGATGAAAGGCACAGGGTGTATAAAAATTCCATCACTGAAACAATAAAGCCCGACGGGGAGTTCATTTGGTTGGTTTGTTGTTTAATACCGCACTGGAATACGATGTTACGGAGTATATTCTTATCCTTCATCAGGTGAATGAAGAGACTAGAAACTAGGAAACAGAAAGCTAAAGACGTACATTTGAAACAACAGTGATTAGATAACAAGGGAAGCCAGTGCTTAATTAGCGCTATATTGGTAGGGTGGATGGACAAATGGGAGCCAGGGATTGTTAATCCCGGCATGAATAATGAGATAACAATGGTGGCATTTAACAAGGGAAATGACAATAAAGAAATGCAAGCCAGGAATTAATCCAGACCTAATTAGTGATGTAACAATAAATTAAATGATTGGTATCCTTTTTACAGACTTTTTAAGAGCACTCATTTATTTCAACGAAAACACACTCGGTTTCTGGAGTTATTGTTAGATTATTGTTTGGACAAGTTAAAGGATTAATTAGAAAAGTACCACAGAATTTGAAAGCATGTTCATGTTGTTTCTATACGACTAAACCAAATGAAAATAAACCCTCCTGTTGGATTAAATCATACGCATGTTAGACGTCATGTGCAGACAGGGCAGAATTATGTGAAATATCGCTTTCTCGCTTTATCGCTTTCTCGCGCTATCGCTTTCTCGATCTATCGGTTTCTCGCTCTATCGGTTTCTCACTCTCTCGCTTTCTCGCTTTCCTTTTTAGCTTTCTCGCTCTATCGCTCTATCGCTTTCTCGCCTTGGTATATCGCTTTTTCGCTCTATCGCTTTCTCGCTCTATCGCTTTCTCGCGTAATGGTATCGCTTTCTCGTCTCGTGCTATCGCTTTCTCGTCTCGAGTTATCGCTTTTTCGTCTCGCGTTATCGCTTTCTCGTCTCGCGTTATCGCTTTCTCGTCTCGTGCTATCGCTTTCTCGTCTCGTGTTATCGCTTTCTCGTCTCGTGCTATCGCTTTCTCGTCTCGTGATATCGCTTTCTCGCCTCCGAATTTTAAGGCGAGAAAGCGATGGCCCTAATCAGCAACCATAGTTATCTGCGTAGATCATACATTACCTGTACGTAAATGATATTGTAATCTACATAGGACAAGATGTGATATAATACTCGATTTATCGGGACTTTGGAAACCATATATTATTAATGCTATACTCTCCCCCCCCAAAAGAAACGCATAGGTGATATTGATGTGTTAAATTTCAAATATGTTTAAACATTAGTGTTTGATTGTTAGAATTTCGCCATTATAGTGCTCGTCTGTGTACATGGAACTAATGCGCAGCGCAGAAACGCATCTTCGGAAACTTCATGCACATTTACATTGAATAGTGTCAAATTGCATGAAAATGTCACGGAAAAAGGTGGTTCGCAATATGCACGTGCAGCTCTGAGGACTCGTGAGCAGGGACATTGCCTGTGTATAATGCCGTTTTGATTTTATACGGTCATTGGCATTTTTAGTTCAATGAAAAAGTTCAATGCCGTGACTCACTGATGTAAATCGACACATCTCAATTTGCCGTTGCACGTCACCTTAATTTTAACCAGAGTATCATCCGTCGTTCATGGGGCGGCTTCGAAGTGGTAGACCTCGGAATACCACTGCAGCGCAGGAGAGGTACATCCGGGTACTTCATTTGTGTAATCGAACTATCACAGCAACTGCAAGGGCAGAGCCTGGTTTGATAAGTGTGTAGGCGTAAACCATTCGTCATCGTTTACGATACGAGAAGCTGGACTTCAAGTCAGAAAACTCTATTTTGGCCGTATGCTGCGACGACTACATCGACGTCGGCAGTTTCAGCGGTGCGATTACGTTTGAATTTGGAACCTTCAAAACTTGCGACGTGTACGAATCACGCATTCTGTTTCAGTGCCGTAACGGAAGAGTACGTGTCTATAACAGCAATATGAACGTTTTGCCCAGAATTGTGTCGCCCACGTTGACCGACACGGTGGTGATAGTGTCATGATGTGGGGAACCATATCTTACACGCAGAAACCTAACTTTGTGCGCTTTCAGGGCAATTTAACTGCTATGTGGTACAGAGAAAAACTCTTAATGATTCACATGGTTCCGATCGGTGATCGCCAGAGGGAGTTGTTCCAGCAAGATAATGTCAGGCCTCACACAGTACATGCCACTATTCAGCATCTTCAGAATGAGAACACTACATTGCTTCCCTGGCCTTCCCAATCGCCCAACTTCAGTGCTTCCATTGCATTCCAAATCGCCCATCGAGAATTTATGGGATGACCTCGGCCAACGCATACGTGAACGCCAACCGGCGCCGGATCAACATGCCGAGACGGTGCAGAGCAGTTTTGGCTACTTATGGTGGCCACTCTGGATCTTGAAGACAACTCACACAACTGTGAACGCCCAACTTATGAAACATTTCTTAATTTATGCATATTAACCGATCTTTTACACTGTGGAATTTGGCTGCACGTGATCCAGAATTACATGTGCTATCTCACTTTAAATTTAGCAGATGGAATTCGTGAAAATACACAGATGCATTTCATTTTTGGAAGTGTATATATTATGCCTCAGTAAGGAGTCAGCAATAGCATATGAGAGGAGAGTAGCTAGATGGAAGTATCGTTTATTTATATGTAGGTATGGTCAACTTACATTTTAGTATAATCTCAAGATGATACATTGAGGCACTGTGGCACTAATACGCGTCCATACTTCCTTAAGTTTGCACGCTGAGTGAACAGTCCACGGACGAATACTCAGCTCCGAGTGTTGTATTCATACCCCTCATTACGTCTTCTTCAAACTTTGTATTTCGGTAATGTAATACATGTAATACATGCACTACTGCACGCATTCCGTGTATAGGCCTGTTACACCTTACAGTGCGGATATTGCCAATCATATGATGTGTTGTCTTGGACGGGTACCAGGGACACGGCGGTGATTGTTATATCTGACACATGATGACTGGTGATACTGGTATTGTTTGCACTATTCAGGTTATCAGGCGCTGGGTAACATGCCGTTGTATCGCTCCTCCGTGCTCAGTAACGGATGGCTGAGGAAAGAGTTCGAGCCTACACCCATCATGTCCACCTACATCCTTGCGTTCGTCGTCGCAGACTTCAAATCCAGAAATTACAGTTTTAACAGTGGCTACCAGGTATTGTAGAGTGTCCGACAGGTAATGGGTAGCCTCGTACAATGTTTGTGTCACTCACCACCACCTCACTACCATGTTTGTGTCTGTCACGTCCACCTTCCTACCATGTTTGTGTCAGTCACCATCACCTCACTACCATGTTTGTGTGAGTCACGTCCACCTCCCTACCATGTTTGTTAGTCACCTCCATCTTCCTACCATGTTTGTGTCAGTCACGTCCACCTCCCTACCATGTTTGTGTCAGTCACTTGCACCTCCCCAACATGTTTGTGTCAGTCACTTCCACCTCCCTACCAAGTTTGTGTCTGTCACATCAACCGTCCGACCATGTTTGTGTGAGTCACGTCCACCTTCCTACCATGTTTGTGTGAGTCACCTCCACCTCCCTACCATGTTTGTATCAGTCACCTCCACCTTCCTGTCATGTTTGTGTCAGTCACCTCCACCTCCCTACCGTGTTTGTGTGAGTCACCTCCACCTCCCTACCATGTTTGTGTCTGTCACCTCCACCTCCCTACCATGTTTGTGCCAGTCACCTCCACCTCCCTACCATGTTTGTGTCTGTCACCTCCACCTCCCTACCATGTTTGTGTCAGTCACCTCCACCTCCCTACCATGTTTGTTTCAGTCACGCCCGCCTACCATGTTTGTTTCAGTCACGCCCGCTTCCCTACCATGTTTGTCTGTCACCTCCACCTCCCTACCATGTTTGTGTCTGTCACCTCCACCTCCCTACCATGTTTGTGTCTGTCACCTCCACCTCCCTACCATGTTTGTGTCTGTCACCTCCACCTCCCTACCATGTTTGTGTCTGTCACCTCCACCTCCCTACATGTTTGTGTCAGTCACCTCCACCTCCCTACATGTTTGTGTCAGTCTGTCCACCTCCACTCCACCTCCCACCATGTTTGTGTCTGTCACCTCCACCTCCCTACATGTTTGTGTCTGTCACCTCCACCTCCCTACATGTTTGTGTCAGTCACCTCCACCTCCCTACCATGTTTGTGTCTGTCACCTCCACCTCCCTACATGTTTGTGTCAGTCACCTCCACCTCCCTACCATGTTTGTGTCTGTCACCTCCACCTCCTACCATGTTTGTGTCTGTCACCTCCTACCCAGTCCTCCCTACCATGTTTGTCACCTCCACCTCCACCTACATATTTGTCACCTCCACCTCCCTACCATGTTTGTGTCTGTCACCTCCACCTCCCCACCATGTTTGTGTCAGTCACCTCCACCTCCTACCATGTTTGTGCCAGTTCCACCTGTCATGTTTGTGTCAGTCACCTCCACCTCCTACCATGTTTGTGTCTGTCACCTCCACCTCCCTACCATGTTTGTGTGTCTGTCACCTCCACCTCACCTCCTACCATGTTTGTGTCTGTCACCTCCACCTCCCTACCATGTTTGTGTCTGTCACCTCCACCTCTGTCACCTCCACCTCCCCTACATGTTTGTGTCTGTCACCTCCACCTCCCTACCATTTGTGTGTGTCCTCCACCTCACCTCCACTGTCCCTACCATGTTTGTGTGTGTCTGTCACCTCCACCTCCCCATGTTTGTGGTGTCACCTCCACCTGTCTGTGTGTCTGTCCACCTCCCTACCATGTTTGTGTCTGTCACCTCCACCTCCCTACATGTTTGTGTCTGTGTCCTCCACCTCCTACCATGTTTGTGTCTGTCACCTCCACCTCCCTACATGTTTGTGTCTGTCACCTCCACCTCCTCCCTACCATGGTTGTGTCTGTCACCTCCACCTCCCTACCATGTTTGTGTCTGTCACCTCCACCTCCTCCACCTACATGTTTGTGTCTGTCACCTCCACCTCCCTACCTCACCATGTTTGTGTCATGTCACCTCCACCTCCCTACATGTTTGTGTCTGTCACCTCCACCTCCCTACATGTTTGTGTCTGTCACATCCACCTCCCTACCATGTTTTGTGTCTGTCACCTCCACCTCCCTCACCTCCATGTTTGTGTGTCTGTCACCTCCACCTCCCTACATGTTTGTGTCTGTCACCTCCACCTCCCTACATGTTTGTGTCTGTCACCTCCACCTCCACCCTACCATGTTTGTGTCTGTCACCTCCACCTCCCTACCATGTTTGTGTCTGTCACCTCCACCTCCCTACATGTTTGTGTCTGTCACCTCCACCTCCCTACCTCCCTACATGTTTGTGTCTGTCACCTCCACCTCCCTACCATGTTGTGTTGTGTGTCTGTCACCTCCACCTCCCTACCATGTGTGTGTCTGTCACCTCCACCTCCCTACCATGTTTGTGTCTGTCACCTCCACCTCCCTACCATGTTTGTGTCTGTCACCTCCACCTCCCTACACGTGTTTGTGTCAGTCACCTCCACCTCCCTACCATGTTTGTGTCTGTCACCTCCACCTCCCTACATGTTTGTGTCTGTCACCTCCACCTCCCTACATGTTTGTGTCAGTCACCTCCACCTCCCTACCATGTTTGTGTCTGTCACCTCCACCTCCCTACATGTTTGTGTCTGTCACCTCCACCTCCCTACCATGTTTGTGTCTGTCACCTCCACCTCCCTACCATGTTTGTGTCAGTCACTTCCACCTCCCTACCATGTTTCTGTCAATTATCTCTACTTTCCAGGACGTGTTTGTAATGATGACATCTACTTTCCAGGACGTGTTTGTAACGATGACATCTATTTTCCAGGACGTGTTTGTAACGATGACATATTCTGTCCCGTAGCTCCGTATTTGGGCCCAGCCTGATGCCTACTCACAGACTAAACACGCCCTGGACTTCGGCGTGAAAACGTACAACTTCTTCACTGAGTACTTCAACACGTCGGATGTAGTACCTAAGGCGGGTCAGTATTCACCCATATACACACATCAGACTTCTTTTAGTACAAACATTTATGACAGATAAGTTTTAATAGCCATAGTCCATGTTGATTTTATGATGATAATTGCTGAGTTTATAAAAAACCCCACTGATTTCCATACCAAACCATGTATGGCCCACATTCAAAATGTGATTTTGCGTATCGTACACGATTCAAAGTCAATACTGTATGACAGCACGCTCCTCCTCATACCCCCTGTCAGTCTCCAGATCATCCGAAAGGGCAGTCTGCGCAATTCCTCGTGTAAAGCAGCTTCCAATTGGGCCAGGTTCTGTACAGGAGGATCCCTTTGTTGCACAACGACGTCGGGTTGTCGTTGATCCAAAAGGTTAATATCGGGGCTCATATCGGAGATATGTCAAGGGGTGATTTACTAAGTACTTTGTGTATAGTTATGATAAATATATAATAATAATCATACATACAAAACGTACATCAGTTGTCTCTGTCCCCCAGATCACGTGGCGGTTCCTGACTTCAGTGGAGGCGCTATGGAGAACTGGGGACTGGTCATCTACCGCGAGACGGCGCTGCTCTACGACCCCTATGTTTCCTCCAGCTCCAACAAGTACATGGTGACACTCATCATGGCACACGAGATCGCACACACGGTCAGTATCGGCTGTCTGAGTCTGAATGGGAAGTCAGTGTTTGATCAGATGTCTTGATGATGAACACACGGTCAGTATCGGATGTCTGAGTCTGAATGGGAAGTCAGTGTTTGATCAGATGTCTTGATGATGAACACACGGTCAGTATCGGATGTCTGAGTCTGAATGGGAAGTCAGTGTTTGATCAGATGTCTTGATGATGCACACACGGTCAGTATCGGATGTCTGAGTCTGAATGGGAAGTCAGTGTTTGATCAGATTCCTTGATGATGCACACACGGTCAGTATCGGATGTCTGAGTCTGAATGGGAAGTCAGTGTTTGATCAGATGTCTTGATGATGCACACACGGTCAGTATCGGATGTCTGAGTCTGAATGGGAAGTCAGTGTTTGATCAGATGTCTTGATGATGCACACACGGTCAGTATCGGATGTCTGAGTCTGAATGGGAAGTCAGTGTTTGATCAGATTCCTTGATGATGCACACGGTCAGTATCGGATGTCTGAGTCTGAATGGGAAGTCAGTGTTTGATCAGATGTCTTGATGATGCACACACGGTCAGTATCGGATGTCTGAGTCTGAATGGGAAGTCAGTGTTTGATCAGATTCCTTGATGATGCACACACGGTCAGTATCGGATGTCTGAGTCTGAATGGGAAGTCAGTGTTTGATCAGATGTCTTGATGATGCACACACGGTCAGTATCGGATGTCTGAGTCTGAATGGGAAGTCAGTGTTTGATCAGATTCCTTGATGATGCACACACGGTCAGTATCGGTTGTCAGAGTATCGACGTTGGGTGGGAAGTCAGTGTTTGATCAGATTTGATGATGAACACACGGTCAGTATCGGCTGTCTGAGTCTGAACGTTGGGTGGGAGGTCAGTGTTTGATCAGATGTCTGGATGATGAACACACGGTCAGTATCGGCTGTCTGAGTTTGAACGCTGGGTGGGAGGTCAGTGTTTGATAAGATGTCTTGATGATGAACACATGGTCAGTATCGGCTGCCTGAGTCTGAATGGGAAGTCAGTGTTTGATCAGATGTCTTGATGATGCACACACGGTCAATATCGGCTGTTTGAGTCTGGACTGACTGACTGACTGAGTTTGGGTGCCGCTTTTAGATATTCAGTGTTTGATCAGAAATGGGCGTTTGAGTCTTGATGATGACGTCAGTGTTTGATCAGATGTCTTGATGATGAACACACGGTCAGTATCGACTGTCTGAGTCTGAACGCTAGGTGGAGAGTCAGTGTTTGATCAGATGTCTTGATGATTAACACACGGTCAGTATCGGATGTTTGAGTCTGAACGTTGGGTGGGAGGTCAGTGTTTAGTCAGATGTCTGGATGATGAACTCACGAGTCGCTCCAACTGTAGTCGGCGGGATCTCGCGTCATGTAACACGTGGTTTCAAGCATGGGTTCCCGTGTAATTAGTAATCATATGAAACCTTCCCCGATGCAGAATGATCCTAATAAGACAGCTTTTCTTTTGTGTCCGTTAGGACGACCTTTAACACTAGGTGTGCTAAAGGTGCTGTCAGGCCTCGATTTGGGGAATTAGCTATAGGGAGCAAGCCTTGAAACCTTGAAACAAGAAAGGAGGCAGAGCTGTGAGTTCCTGAGTTGATTCAAGCAAATGACTTGCATGACATTCAAATTGCATCAATGCATACATCATAATGACATACAATCATAGAAATAATAATCAGTGATATCCTAATACAGTTCATATCTAAGTCAGGTAATATAAGCAATGTGTGGTACAACAGGGTATTACGGTAACTGCTTACAGAAACATAATACAAATAACACAACCTATCCTTGAGTAACTACGGTACTGATAAATAACATAACCTGACGGATAAATTAATCATCAACAATAATTGCAAAGAAGAAGCACTGAGTGGAGCGCCCAAAAGTTTAATTACAGAATATAATGCCTATAGTTCATAAACTACTGTGCGGAACGGAACGTTTAATACATCATTATTCAAATACTTATGTTGGTGAAATATCAAAATACAATGTTGGCTGTTGTAACCTATTCTGTGAGCGCGTATATTATTTGATCGGCGGACTATTGTAAAATACAGAGTAACTGACCTACATATAAATTCATCTTTGCTGGAAATGATTGTATAAACTCGCGGAACTGTTTTTGTGACTAAGCTACTAGAATCTATGCTACTGAACGGGAATCTAACCTGCATATACAGATCTAACACGCAAACATGAATGAAACTAGACAAGGACTGGGAATACACACATGTGTGTAGAAACATAGACAAGAAATATTCGTTTGTACATGAAAAACATAAAACTTGAGGAGCCCACGACGCAATGTGCATAAATAAATATCCCTGGATAGTGCCTAAGAATTATCGGTTATCTAGAACTAGCATTTACAATGATAGGTATTTAAAAAGTGCTACAATATCGTAGGAATGTTTCAAACCTAACTCTAACATATTCTAGACGATAATTACAAAGAAATAAACAAGAATTAAGTTTAAATGTTTTGTACCTTGAAACAAGAAAGGAGGCAGAGCTGTGAGTTCCTGAGTTTATTCAAGCAAGTGTGCCTGAGATGGAAGAACCCAGGATGTTATACCCCACAGCTCTACTTGTTTGTCATTATCAAGTTTCTATAAAGTTGAAGTTTCCATATGCGTTATCTACCCTATGCTGACAAAGTATACTAAACGAGGTAGGTGGTAAGAAGATGACTACCTAACAAGGTTTGATTTTCTTTATGGTGTAGCCACAGTCAGTTTGCGCCAGCTGCTTAACAAAATATCTGACCATGGCATTTACGACAGGACAAAGAGGATGGTATGATGGTAATATCGATCTTGTTCAACAAAAGTTGATTTTCGATAACGACTCAGTTGGTGATAGACATGCTCCTGCTGGGATGGGACTACTTATCTGTGCTTGACCAAGGGATGTACCCGATATGATGGTCCACATCCTGTATTCCACGGATGTAGCGCCCCATTCCCTCGTGCGATCACCCGATATGGTGGTATCACCTCCTGTATTCCACGGATGTAGCGCCCCATTCCCTCGTGCGATCACCCGATATGGTGGTATCACCTCCTGTATTCCACGGATGTAGCGCCCCATTCCCTCGTGCGATCACCCGATATGGTGGTATCACCTCCTGTATTCCACGGATGTAGCGCCCCATTCCCTCGTGCGATCACCCGATATGGTGGTATCACCTCCTGTAATCCACGGATGTAGCGCCCCATTCCCTCGTGTGATCACCCGATATGGTGGTATCACCTCCTGTATTCCACGGATGTAGCCCAATTCCCTCGTGTAATCACCCGATATGGTGGTCCATCCTCCTGTATTCCACGCATGTAGTGCCCCATTCCCTCGTGCGATCACCCGATATGGTTGTATCACCTCCTGTATTCCACGGATGTAGCGCCCTATTCCCTCGTGCGATCACCCGATATGGTGGTATCACCTCCTGTATTCCACGGATGTAGCGCCCCATTCCCTCGTGCGATCACCCGATATGGTGGTATCACCTCCTGTATTCCACGGATGTAGCGCCCCATTCCCTCGTGTAATCACCCGATATGATGGTCCATCCTCCTGTATTCCACGGATGTAGCGCCCCATTCCCTCGTGTAATCACCCGATATGGTGGTATCACCTCCTGTATTCCACGGATGTAGCGCCCCATTCCCTCGTGTAATCACCCGATATGGTGGTATCACCTCCTGTATTCCACGGATGTAGCGCCCCATTCCCTCGTGTAATCACCCGATATGGTGGTCCATCCTCCTGTATTCCACGCATGTAGTGCCCCATTCCCTCGTGCGATCACCCGATATGGTTGTATCACCTCCTGTATTCCACTAGCGCCCCATTCCTCGTGCGATCACCCGATATGGTGGTATCACCTCCTGTATTCCACGGATGTAGCGCCCCATTCCCTCGTGTAATCACCCGATATGGTGGTCCATCCTCCTGTATTCCACGCATGTAGTGCCCCATTCCCTCGTGCGATCACCCGATATGGTGGTATCACCTCCTGTATTCCACGGATGTAGCGCCCTATTCCCTCGTGCGATCACCCGATATGGTGGTATCACCTCCTGTATTCCACGGATGTAGCGCCCCATTCCCTCGTGTAATCACCCGATATGGTGGTCCATCCTCCTGTATTCCACGGATGTAGCGCCCCATTCCCTCGTGCGATCACCCGATATGGTGGTATCACCTCCTGTATTCCACGGATGTAGCGCCCTATTCCCTCGTGCGATCACCCGATATGGTGGTATCACCTCCTGTATTCCACGGATGTAGCGCCCCATTCCCTCGTGCGATCACCCGATATGGTGGTATCACCTCCTGTATTCCACGGATGTAGCGCCCCATTCCCTCGTGTAATCACCCGATATGGTGGTATCACCTCCTGTATTCCACGGATGTAGCGCCCCATTCCCTCGTGTAATCACCCGATATGGTGGTATCACCTCCTGTATTCCACGGATGTAGCGCCCCATTCCCTCGTGCGATCACCCGATATGGTGGTATCACCTCCTGTATTCCACGGATGTAGCGCCCCATTCCCTCGTGTAATCACCCGATATGGTGGTATCACCTCCTGTATTCCACGGATGTAGCGCCCCATTCCCTCGTGTAATCACCCGATATGGTGGTATCACCTCCTGTATTCCACGGATGTAGCGCCCCATTCCCTCGTGCAATCACCCGATATGGTTGTATCACCTCCTGTATTCCACGGATGTAGCGCCCCATTCCCTCGTGCGATCACCCGATATGGTGGTCCATCCTCCTGTATCCCATGGATTTTCGCATTGCAATGTATTGCGATATGTGTTGGCGTATTGCAATATGTATTTCAATATATTGGGAAAGTGTAACACATGGATTAAGGTAATGACATTACTGTTTCCTTTCTTTTGAAACAATGCCACTGGCCACTGTCAGGACTCAGATGTAATTGTA